GCATCCGAAGCCTGCAGGTGCATAGGAATGCTGTGTGTCCGTCCTTCAGCTTGTGCCTTCCACGAAAACCCTTCGATGGCTGCTGATTTCAGGTGAACCAGGGAAAGGTCACGTGGGTACTTCCAGACTCTTGGATGGTAAAGGATGCTCAATGCACCAGGCGCGCTCCCGCGCGTCCCTCTGTAGAGTGTGCACAGCCATCACAGAGAAAGCATGCTCCAGTGGCGCAATCGGTTAGCGCGCGGTACTTATACAGCAGTATATGTGCGGGTGATGCCGAGGTTGTGAGTTCGAGCCTCACCTGGAGCATGTTTTCTTCCCTTTCCGGTTCAAATATGTTTGAAAGCGCATTTTTCCTTCCAAGCAAACAAAAAATGGTAAATATTTTCCATGGTGCGAACACATAAATTCCTATGATAAAGAGCATCTGATCCAATTCAAACATAGGAGGAAAACCACTAGTAAAGAGGTTGAATATATTAAACCTGTAAGCAGATTTCTAGACAGGCAGAAGAGTTCCCCCTCCCCGACTCCATCCCAGGACAGACTTCTTCAGCTTTTGGGGACTGAGTCAGTACCTGGTAATGCTAACACTGATCTTATTTTCTGCTATTTCTACAAGGCTTGAAGTGAGGCCTAAATCTACAACTGTGCCAAGTCTCGCCTTACCACCTATTTTAGAAAAGCCCTCCTGTATACCCCTCCCACCCCAACCCGGCACTGGAGAGGCTGAAGCAGGAATACTGCCCGGAGATGAAGGCCAGGTTGGGATACATGACAGTTGAGTTCCAGGACAGCCTGGCATACAGAGTGAGGTAAGTGTAACCATCCCAGTTTCATCCTTGTCAGCCTGGCTCATATAAATATCTCCATAAGACATACTTTATCTTGTAATAAAGAAAATAACAAGATCACAATTCTCTGGACATGAAAGAAGTAGTGTACATACAAATGAAAATGTGCTAACCCTTTTAGATGCCGTTCTGGGACAGACAGCCATGCTCAGCTATTCACAATAAGAAAGCTTCTGCCTCAGATCAAGGTCCCTGATTCCTCTGAGCTCAGGATCAAAATGAGTTAGTTAACCTTGAGTAACTCTTAACTGCAATCTGCCTTATGGCATCCTGATGCCATTGTAGAGAATGCTATTCTTTATTGAGGGTCAGAGTTTCAGAAGTTTGACTCCCTGATGACCTATATCTGCTTGGCCAGACAACCAGGCCCCCAGAGAAACAAACCCATACAGGTGTCCTACCCTATGAGACCCACAACCAGGGCACCTTGATTTTGAAACATTGATGTGTCTGCTGCCAATGCCTCAGTGTAGATACTTGCTTTCCTGTTTTGCAGGCTATCTAATTAATTCTACTTACACCTCCTGTCTCTGGGGAATTGTCTCACAGCTTCAGCATCACCATCTGGTTAACCCTGTTCTCAGCATGGCCATTCCTTCCCCAGAAAAGGAAGTAAAGTACCTACATGATGTTTATTGTTCACTGGCTGTCATGTAACTTAAATTTTATGGAGTAAAGTGAACAATAATTTAAGAGTGAGAGAAAGTTATTAATGTCTTGCGAGAGAGGAGATGAAATATATTTAATATATATGTTTGCACAAACAAAAGTACTCCTAGCAAAACAGAGGGGAAATGTTTATGAAAATGATAGGTCTTTGGCGGGGGAGGGGGGATGATGTTGGTTTTTTGAGACAGGGTCCCTCTACAGAGTCCAGGCTGTCCTAGAATTCACTAAGTAGACCAGGCTAGCTTTGAACTCATAGAGATCTGCCTGCCCCTGCCTCCAACTGCTAAGATTCAGGTATGTACCATTATGCCTGGATCTTTTTTTAAAAATATTATTTAAAATTTTTAAAAATTATATTTTGTGTGTATGGTGTTTTATCTGCATGCATATCTGTGTACCACATACTTGCCTGGTACCCTTGCAGGCTAGAAGAGGGTGTCAGATCACCTATAACTGGAAGTTACAAGCCTCTTTGTGGTTAGTGGGAATTGAAACTACATCCTCTGGAAGAATACAGCCAATGCCCTTAACTGCTAAGCCATCTCCCCAACCACAATCATGTATGTGATCGTGGGGGCTACAGATGGATAAGGCCTGAGAATTGACAAATGTGGGCTAGTTGCAAACTATTTTAATGGCAAAACAATTTTCTAAGTAGAAGCACGGTATCTACAATATCAAGACAGCAAACAGGTGCTCCCTAAGTCCACAGGTGCTAGTTTTGGCAGAAGTACTGCAGGCAATTGAAGGTAAGTGTGTATCCACATTTATATCTATTTCAGCAGGAACAAAAGGCTTCTGTAGGGAGAGATCCTGATACCTGTACTGATGACTCAGTTGGGCATGGTCATAGGTAAGCAAAGGATAGGATAAAGGGCGGCGCTTTTGGTTCAGCCAGCTGGTTACTGATTCCTCCTGTGAGTATATAATAACCTATCTCGGGTTCCATTCTAGTTTCTCTTTAGGCCTCCCTTCCCATGATTGAAGTGGACAAATCAAACTTGTCATTGAGTAGCCTACAATGCAGGAACCTCCCCAAGTCAAGGCAAACAGTCGCAGTGGGTCATGCGTCTCCAGTAGAAGCTAATGTTAGAGAAGCGGCAGACAGAGGGGAAGATGTGCAGGGATTTCCTGTAACTGAGCAAAGGGATGCTCGGGGAAATCTAGTTAGCAAACACACGCCGATACCATTTAAACAGCTCAGGGAACTAAAAACGACCAACTGCAGTTTTTGCCCAGACTGTGATAGAGAATATTGCTATAGAAGCTTTACCCCACAGGAGACTGGAAACAGATAGCCACGGCCTGCCTACCAGGAGGGGACGACTATCTGTTGTCGAACACTGAATTTGCAGAGTAGTGTCAAGTCACAGCTGAGAGAAATAGAGCCCAACACCTTCCCATTTCTTATGCTTGCTGGTGAAGGGCAATACAAAGATAGATCAACAGCTAGGTTTTGAGGTAGCAATGTATACACAGGTTGGCGCAGCTGCCAAAGAGGGCCTGGAACATGCTTCCAGCTTCTGGAGCACAGACTGAAGACTTGACAAAAATCAGGCAGGGACACAATGAATTATATCAGAACTTTGTCTCTAGGCTAATGCAGGCATCATCCAAAATAATAGGAGATACAGAGGCTGGACTCTTGATTGTTAGACAACTAGCCTATGAAAATGCTAATGCAGCATCCAGGCCCCGCTAAGACCTTATAGAAATAAAGGTGACATAGATGAATTTATTCAAATTTGTTCAGATATTGGACTGGCATACACTCAGAGGTTAGCTATGGCTGCTGCTTTACAAGGGACTTCAGTTAAGGATATGCTGTTCCTACAGAAAAACCAAGACTCAGGGAGGAAGTAGGTCACAAAGCCTTTTGGAAGTTGCTTTGGATGTGGTCAGAAAGGGCACCAAATCAGACAGTATCCCAACAGAGAAGTAAATAGGGAACCTGGTTTGTGTCTGAGATGCAAGAGAGGAAAGCTCTGGGCAAATGAGTGCAAATCTAAGAAGGATGCCCAGGGGAATCTCTTGCAGGGAAACTACCTAGGGGGCCTGCCTCAGGCCCCAAGACAAATCTATGGCGCCATTCAGCAGCAGTTCTCCCTCACAGGGAAATTGGTTCAGTACCTCTGCAGAGCCACGGCAGGAAGTGCTGGACTGGACCTCTGCTCAATGCCTACACAGTTTTTAACGCAGAGATAGGGATGCTAGCTCTTCCCACTGGTGTTTATGGCCCTGTGCTGAGTGGCACTGTAGGATTGTTATTAGGAAGAAGTAGCACCACTATGCAGGGAACTTTTGTTGCTCCTGGAATGATTGATGCTGATTTTGAGTGTTATGCTGATAATGGTTATGACTCATTCACCAAATGGAATTTCAATGGTAAAGTTAGTGCTCAATTGATTTTCCTTCCCCAAATGAAAATCAAGAACCAGGTTAAGAGAGATAAAAGAGGGAAATCTGGGTTTGGTTCATCTGATGCCTATTGGCTACAAGTATTTGGGGTATATGTTATATCCTGAAGAAATTAAGCCTCAAAAATTAGAAATTAGAAAAGATAGTTTGCAATCTTTTAATGATTTTCAGAAGTTATTGGGAAATACTCAGTGGTTACATCCTTTTTAAAAGTCACCTACTGGTGATTTGAAACCTTTAAGTGATATTCTAAAAGGAGATAGTGATCCCAATTCACCTAGACAGCTAACTAATGAAGGGAGGCAAGTTGTCCTGCAGTTGGAAAAATGCGATACAGCATCAGCAAATATGCTATATTTGAAAGACTTAAAAATTAGGAAAGAAATATAGGCCAGAAACTGACCAAGGCTACTACTATGACTTAGTGCCTGGAATTTACCAGCCACCAGCAATTGCTCCCTTACAAGGCCATAAGATAACTGGGTACCAAGAATTCCCAGATGGCCATCCTCCTCCAGGGGCTCATGAAAGAAACAGATTGCCCCACCAGCCAATGTGTCATTCATTAACAATTAAGGGTCCCTGTGAAACAAAGAGATAGCTACCGTTAGTTAGCACTTCCTGAGGTCTGCAAGCTTTACAACTGGTGGGGTCAGGAGGCTATCTGATTCCCAGGCCTCCTCTCAAGACAAAGGGCCTCCTAGGAACCCATGACTCATGGGTTCAACAGACAGAGAGAGTCGAGGCCCCTCCCTAAGCTTATGGTTTTTGCCTTTTAAAACACCTGTGCTTGGGGGACGGGGCTGCTCTCTAGCCTGCATGCTGAGAGAGCCCGTTTGTAATAACCACCTTTCATTAAAACCTCTTGTTATTTGCATCAAGTTCCTGCCTCCTCATGGTGACTGGGATGGCCGAAGTCCTGGGAAAAGATACTAGAGGCCTGAGCTTCGGGGGTGGGGTGGGGGGTTGGG